CAGCAAGAATCAGGATCACGAAAATATGCAACAGCTCCATATCCCTTGAGGCTGGCGTCACAAAAGACAAAAAGCTCTTATTTTATCGAAATTTACACATTTTACATTTAATATGTATTTTCTAGGAATACACAAGTTGAGAATAACTTCAATTTCAAAATACCAAGTTTTAAATTTTTCACTCAAATAACTGGGCAAAATTGTGTCCCAATCAATACCCAATTCCCATAACTCTTGCAATAAGAATTTTATTCTGATAACAAAGGGTGCAAGGAATCCAACTGGGTCATAAATTTTTGCCACAATCTGTAATACCTTTCGCTTTGTAACGTGTTTCCAGTCAACTGGTTGTAAAAGTTCTTGTACATCTAATTTCAATGTGTCCTCATCCAAATCCCAAATTATTCCCAGCACCTTTAACGTTTTCTTATCCAAATTATCTTCCTTATTAATTAAACCAATATCTTGCCAATGATTTTTTAAAGATACGGAATTTGATTCAAATTTTCTTAAGTTCATACCAGCGTCTTGAAGAATTTTAACTGCATCAGTTGATAATGAGAAAACTTCTTCAACGGAGTCTGCTCCATGGATAAGGTCATCAACATATAGGGACTTATTTGACATGTCAACAGCTTTGCTATATTTCTTTTCATAACCATTAATATGATGTTTAATAGTGGCGGACAAAATAAACGGACTTGTTGTCATTCCAAACGGCACTCGGCACATTCGGAAAACCTTAAAGCCAAACTATTGTCACTATCGTCGCAAGAATGGTCAAACCACAAGAACCTTAAAAAATTTCTATCTTCACTATCAATTTGAATTTGGTGAAAAGCCTTCTCTATGTCTGCACAAAATGCAACTTTATGTACGCGAAATTTTAAAATTATATCCAACAAGTTAGGATTTAAATTAGGGCCTGATATCAGACATTCATTTAACGATTTAGCTCCTTCAGACTTAGAAGAGGCATCATAAACTATTCTTATTCTTGTTGTTACTTTTTCTTCACGTATAACGGGCCTATGAGGCATATAATAACAGTTAGGTTCATTTTCAACAAACTTACATTGTTCAACAATCCCCCTTTCAACTTGTTCTCTAATTATATTATCATATTCATTATATAGGAAATCATTTCCCTTTAATTTATGCTTTAGTCCTAGAAATCGTTGTTTAGCAACGAAAAAATTATCAGCGAGTTGTGATTTATTGTCCTTCCAAAAGAGTTTTGTTTCGTACCTGCCGTTATTAAATTTCAAACTGTCGTTAAAATGCTTAATAGTATTCCAAATCAGTTTCCGAAAATGTTTTTGTTTTCATTTTCAATTCCTATCGAATCCAATTTCCAAAATGACTGCAAATCAAATGTGTTTCCTTCAACGGCAGATAAAAACAACGCATTAATTCGAGTATTATTATTTTTTACTTTACCCATCACTGTGTATCCAAATATCGTCGGTACTATAAACAAACCATCATTTATCATTGAATTACTTCCTGTTTGTATATACCAGAAATGCTCCGCGCCAAGTACAGATATTTATGTTCTCATTAACGGGACTTGTATCCGAAAGTTCCAAACCCTTTTTTAGTCATAAATTCTTTAATGTTTTGACATGTGAATGGTGCTTGGAATTCTATTGATGATATTAATTCTATCCTGATAGCTTCTACAACAAGGCAGCGATCATCTTTTTTATTTTTAGACTATATACATCAAATTCTTGTGAGTTACCGTGCTGATTTTCAAATGAATAAATTGTTAGACATTCTTTTCTAATGACTTGTAATTTTAAATTTGTGTGCTAACTTGTGGGTGTTGAAGTTTCTTTCACTACCTGAATCAATTAATAATCTTACGATTCTCGATTTATTTTTGCTTTGAGCAATAACAGAACATGCCTGTAAAAGCACACTATTTTCAGGTTTTAGAGTGTTACAGTGGGAAGTAGATACTAAAGTTTTATTTTGCGTATCCGCGGATTTAACATCTTCCATTTCTTTCGATTTCAAACGGCAGAAAAGTTTATTATGATTTTTCTCGTTACAATTTTCGCATGGTTGTATATTTGACCGACAAAACGACCACAAATGTGATCTCAGAAAGCATTTGTAACAGCGACCTTCATGTTTCAATTTGTTTCGTTTTTGGTCGTCGGAAAATTTCAAACATCCGGCAGATGTATGTTCGTTTGATTTGCAGAATATGCAAAACATTTTTACCGATGTGTTAAAAGCAGAAGCTTGTGATTTGACTTTATAATTTTTTAACCCTTGTTTAGGATTAACCCCTGTGTATTTATTACCTTTTGAGCTATTAATCAAAATACTTGCTTCTCGGCATTCAGTTTCGATTTTAATGAACTCTCTTAATTCACTTACTTCTATATTTTGGTTAGATGTTCTTTTTCTATGGAATTCAAGAGCTAAATCTTCAGGTAACAATTTAAGAATTATTGGGTTCAATAACTGTCCGTATGAACCGCTAGTAACATCTAAACTACTTAAATTTCTAACGCAGATTTGTAACTGATCATAGAGCTTTCTTAACTCAAAAACATTCGAAGAACTTTTAACTGGTTCTAACTGTAACAACATCTGTATGAATTTTGATATAATAACATCTTTACGACCAAACCTCTTTTCTAAACTTTTAATGCATAGATCATAATTTTCTTCAGATAAAGCATAACCAGAAACACAATTATATGCTGCTGAACCAGATAATAAACTTTTCAAATATGTAAAACTTATCTATTTTAGATAAACTTGGATTAGAATGAATAGCATTATCATACGAATTAAAGAATTCGAGCCATTTACTGGGATCAACAGCAAATTTTTCAATATTTAATTTAGGTAACTTTACTGAAGCACTACTTGTAACAACATTATTACCATTCAGAGTACTACTAATACCATTACTAGTTGTAATTATACTTCTTTCAACAACTTCATTACTGTTAATTTTCTTTACTTTACTAACAATCTTAGCTTTAAACGTTATAATTTTTTCATCATACTCTTCACATACAAGTAGTTCGTTATCATATTCTTTTTCATCAATTATGAGAGTATCGATCTTTGAGTCAAGAGTTTTAAGTTTCTCATGGTATTCAATTAACAATTCATATGATGAATTTAAATCTTCTAGATGTTCTTTAGTTAATTCTTCCGATAATAATTTCTCAAGTTTATCTAGAAGTGTAGTAACTTTACTACGTACAATAGCACGTTTCTTTTTCTCTTTTGCTAAATCATCCATTATGTTTCGTTTTCAAAGATCGATACCATAAACAAATAAATCAAATTTCTTACCTTTTAAAAGGTAATTCCCCCTGTCGCGGGTTTCAGACACCAAAAAAACGTGTGGTGTCTCTCTTCATGAGTCATAAATTCAAAGATCGTTTCGTTTCAGGAGTCAAGGTTGGGAGAGCATCAGAATTTCAAATCAAAATTTCAAGAGTTCACAGAACATAGAAATAACATTTATTAACGATAAACTTATATTACTTATATTACTTCCGCCTATAGCGGCCATGAAACATAATCAAGCATCAAATAAATATGACATGCGTCATTCTTCATGTTCAAGCGTCAAATGATATATTTTTCATCGGCGCGCATCAAGAGCGCCACCTATATACCAAAAAGACGGAACAATTATTAAGATTTCTTTTCAATAACATCGTCTTTATATTATCAGAACATTCCAAACAAACACTTGTAGGTTGACTTGGAAGAATGATTACCAGCAATACATCTTTATTTACGCAAAATTACGGAAATGGTATAACTTTTGTAGCACTTTTCATAATAACAGACATCAGACATATCCACAAATATCTTGTCGAATCTCTACATCATAGGATGGCGAAAGGAAGATCTACATCATACTACATATTGGTTTTAATTATTTTTGTGGTCGAGAATATTAAAGGCACCCTATTATCTAAACGCTGAATATTTTCTTTCTGACAGTGATCTGAAAAATATTTTAAAGAGGTTTTATGAACTCTAAACAGCCATTCTTGCAAATACCTCCAACCAAGTGACGAATATGTCAAGCAAATTTGTAATTAATATTTACTTCCATTAATTTTTTTACATAAAATATTTATTTTTGAAATAATTGTAACCTAAACTAGTTAGTTATTTTAAATTGTATTTAAATTTAGTACAACTATACTCAATATTCAAACTAATATCATATGTTTTCTGTCTCGCTGTCTTATTGTAGAGACGTTAGGTTATTTCGAAAGCAGAAGTCGAGAAATGAGCAATGCCCTCGCCGGGACTCGAAGCGCGGACCTCTCGAATTCGCGTCGAGCGTGCTGACCACTACACTACGAAGGCATGCTAACGGGAGAAATGCTTTATATTATGAGAGGAAAGAAGGGAAAATTTTTCTGAAGACATGTGTTTTGAAAGAAAAGGAAATAATCACATTAAATCACGTAATAAGGGAGAAAGAAAATGGTGTAAACAACAAACTACATTTCATTAACTAACATATTAGGTTGTTTAAAATGCTTCATTTGAGATCTTTATCAGCTCATAAACATCATTAAAAAATTTACAGTTCTTAGTTTTAAATGATTCTTTCGAGCAATATTGCTTAGTTGAAAGACTACTTAGGGCAACAACTAGAATTAACAAAGCATGTCAGACGTGAGTTTGACAGTAAAGTTTCCGATTTTTTTTATGAAAAAAATTTAACACATGTATAAGGTATTTCTCCTGCCTTCGTGGTGTTGTAGTCAGCACAATCGGCGCGTATTCGAGAGGGCCGTGGTTCGAGTTTCGGCGAAGGCGTTGGTCATTTTTCCTTTCTCCTGCTTCAAAAATATGTAATGTCTCTACAGTGGCGCCCGCTGAAAAAGGTGGTGCATGATGATTCTCCACTGCCAAGAATTAGCGTTTGGGTCCTCTAATCCCTATTCGCCCTTTAAAAGGGGGAGTAAGGTATTTCTCCCCCTCCTTCTTAACATGCCTTCGTGGTGTAGTGGCCAACACACTCGGCATGTATTCGAGAGGTCCGTGGTTCGAGTCCCTGCGAAGGCATTGCTCATTTTTCATGCTTCAAAAATACCTAATGTTTGTACACTTGCATGAAGGAAACATTTCTCATGTATCGTAGTATAAATCTTAGGCAGATATAAAACTATCCCAGAAGCTATAAGGTATTTTCTTCTTCCTTTCTGCATGCGCTCGTGGTGTAACGATTAGCACACTCGGCGCGTATTCGAGAGGTCCAGGTTCGAGTCCCGGCGAGGACATTGCTCATTTTTCCTGTTTCCTGCTTCAAAATAACCTAATGACTCTACAAAGCAAACTTAAATATCATTCGTCGTTAATAAAAAGAAATCATTGAACTCTTCAGTAATGATCTAATACTTGCTTGCAATGAAAAAAAAAAAAAAAATAAATTTTAAGCATTCAGATTCATTTTTGCCACTATTTGATTTCGGTTTATAAATATGCTGGTCATTTAGCATCTTGTCTGGTGAGGGGCATTCCATTGTTACTAACCACTGGTTTAATCAGATTAACTTCCTGGTTGAAAATGGTTGCTACAACTTTATGATCAATAATATTAGCTACCCATTGAATACATAGAGCTCCATCAATTAAACTCTTTTCAATTTGCATGGTAGTCACGGTCCAAGAATGGGAGAGTTCTCGTGGTTCTTTTCATTTCCCTTCACTGTTTCGAATCAAGTATGGCGTGCGTGTCTTCCATCCACTTCCTCCAGGCAAAATATCCACTTAGTCGCGCTTTGGAAGACCACTTTGCCTCATTTGAATCACTTACTGGATACGTTTAAGACCTAACCATGTTCTGCACGATTGGTTTTTTATAAATTTCGGATATATCTTGATTCATTAACAATGGAAAGAGAACAGAATGCAAGTAACCTCAAGAAATACTTCTGCCCAGCAAAGAAGCAATGGAAATGTGGGTGGTCGTCGTTTTGTTCTGATACCGGCACTAATCTTTGTCACGGGACGAAGGCAATTACCAGAGCGTAGAAATATCAAATTGACGCAATGATGAAATTTTTGCTTATTTGCAAATAAAAGATTTCAAAATAAAAACAGAAAGGAAGTATTTAGTAGCTAAGAAGATTTCCTAGAATTTATGATTTCTTTTTAAAAGAACTCACGTAATATTTATTCACTTACAAATATTTACTTGGACTAAAACGTTTTCGAGGCTCAGCTTGTACAGACACATTTTTTTTTTTTTTTTTTTTAAACAGAAGAAGTGAAAAATGAGCAATGCCCTGGCCGGGACTCGAACCAAGAACCTTTCGATTTCGCGTCGAGCGTGCTGACCACTACACTACGAAGGCATGCTAAGAAGGTGAGAAAAGTATATTATATACTCTCCTTTTTAAAATGCGACTGGAGTTTTTAAGGGGACCCATTCGCCAAATCCTGGTGGGGAAGAATCTCTATTGAACACCTTTTAATTCGGACGCCACTGTAGAGTCTGTACACGTTATTCTGAAGAAGAAGAGATGAAAAAGAAGCAATGCCCTCGCCAGGACTCGAACCACAGACTTCTCGAATACGCGTCGAGCGTGCTGACCACTACACTACGAAGCCGGGAGAAATACCTTACAAGCTTATCGAAACAGTAAACCAGCACACAAGTAGAATGCTAAACGCGTGGGTTTACACATGAAGAAGAATGAATAATGAGCGATATTAATTTCTCTAAGCTTACTGCATTGTCTCAAGTTAGGAATTTGCTACCTGAAAATGATGAAAAATCTCATACATATGTAATTGCATACAAAAAGGTTACACATATTAATAAATTTTTCCAAACTATGGGTGGACATAACATTGGGATATATCTAAATAATAAAAATTTAAGACATATTGTTTTCGGAAAATATCTTGTAACAAAGGAAATACACATAAAATCATTCACTTCGTTGAAGATTGAACGCAAATTTAAACTACCTGTTCTATAAAGTACAAATGAGGGGAATACGAACCTGATCCACCTGGTCTAATAATAGATCTTATGATCTTGTTTGGATCGCCTCTAAGTTCACCACAAAATAAAGAATCCCACCAGAAAACCGAACTAAAGCACGATCACAACATTAAAACACAAACTATAAATACACATCAAGTGAAAAGAAACAAGGACACATAGAATTAAAAAATCACAAGGCACAAAATCACTAATATCTCAATAAGCCGAGATGAATATAAGGTGAATGTTCTATAAAGTATTTTCTCCCTCCTTCCAGCATGCCGTCGTGGTGAAACGGTAGCACACACAGCACGTATTCGAGAGATCCAGAGTTCGAATCCCAGAGAAGACACTGCACATTTTTCGCATCTCCTGCTTTAAAAACAATTCTGATTACTCTACAGTGGCGCCAGAACTAAAAAAGGACGGTGGCTAATACTTCGTCATCACCAAGGTTTGGCAATTACCCGCAGTCGCCCTTTAAAAGGGGGAGTATATAAGGTTATTTTCTCCTTCCTTCCAGCACGTAATGTTACACATGGCGAGAATTCCAGGGGGTTCAGATTCGAATCTCGGTGAGGGCATTGCACATCTTTCGCGTCTCCTGATTAAAAAAAAAACCTAATGACTCTGCAAAGGTTACTTTAAATTAGTTTTTTTTCCCTGTACTGTCTATTAAAAATAAAAATTTAGAAAAAGGAACTGAAAGAGAAGAGCTCACAATAAAAAGCAACACAGAAACTTATTTTGTAGTTAATTCATTGAAAAATAAAACATTTTATAATCCCAAAATATTGCAAATTTCCAGTTTTGTAATATTTATATGACAAACTAAAAATGTGACATTTATGCAATCTAGCTTCTGTTTCAAAGAATAATTAGTTAAATATATAAGATATCATTTACAAGGAATTCATAAACATAATACGTAATACATGTATAATAATTTAGGAAGCTCGAGAAGACACAATTTTAATCATGGGCGCTGATTATAGATGGCGCTGACGTGTGGACTGCGTAATTACATAGTACAATTTTTAAACACACTTTATTTCTGAGACAAACACTTTAAACGCATGCTGTGATTAACACACCACCATGGGTGCAATTTTCACCTATTCTTCATCACATTTTTGTACCTTTTGTACATAAAAGAAATAAAATGGGTGAAATAGAAAAGAAAGCGACGGCACCTTTGCTCGAAGCAAGCAAAGAGGGAAAGTGCAATGCATTTAAAAGAAAGCTAGGCGAGAGTGGAAAGGTTAACGAATCCCCAAAAGGTTTTCATTTCAATTAAAATCTTATTCGCTGATTGGCTAAAACGTATCTACATTAGCAAGGTTATGTAATATCGTAAGCTATATCTGCTAATCAAAATTATCAGATATTAAATATTGATAATTAAAAAGCTTAATTTGAAATCATGCAGTTTAGATGGATTTATTATGAGCAGTTACTATTTTTAGAACAGAGAGGGGAAATATCCAAATTAAAATGAAGAATATAAGGGGTTCTTGTCAATTAAAGTTACTTTTATTTTACACATATATTAAAGTCAAATTGTAAGTAATAACTAGTGGACAAGCTTGCCAGATGAGCAGGCTTCACCCAAAGAAAATTTATAAGTTCTGTGTACATCTGAAAAGCAAATGTATAAAAGCATTTCAGTGTGAGTGAAATCAGTTCATTCTTTCCAAGCAACAATTCGTAAATAATTTTTTTTTTTTTTGTTGCCAAACTAGGAAATAAACACCTCTGACATCATTAGGTTAATATGTATACGTATGACGTCATGATTTAAATTTGATGTAATGTAACAATTTTTTCTCAATATCAATAAAAGAATAAACCTGGCAATAACATATCATGTCAATTATATAACCTGAAACAAAAAAGTTCTCAACAGCAGCTATTTATTTAAAATGCTGACATTAACGAAAGATTTTCGACACAAACAATGACGTCACATGCAATCGCGTGCTTTCTTCAACTTCAGAATATGAACTCATATAATAATAATATGTTTAACTTTGGCAATGCTATTTTTATTTCATATTTTGTAAAACTAACAAATTTTGAGTAACAAACTCTACGATTTGAAAGCGAGCAGTGGCAACACTTCTCGAAATGAAGCAGATTTTTATTTCAAGCGTGCGAGAGTGTTGCCATTCGGAAAAATGAGAGTGAAACTTAGCTTTTTCAGAGATTTTAATTAATATCTCGGCTGATTAAAACCGTACGAAGATGAGAATGGTCGAAATATCTTCTCGCGAAATTTTGGTATTCGGGGGTACCTCTCCCGAAATTTTAATAGTATAGATAGTTTAGTGACGTCAATTTGCTGTTTGTTTTGTTTATTGGTTGTCTGAAAAGTCATGACTTATTTTTTCTGTCTTCTTCAAAAGTTATTTATTTATATAAAGAACAATGATCAGTTTGAAGTATACTGCTCTTTTTCTTCGATAAATTTTTACTTTTAAAAAGCTTCGTAGTTCCTCATTCACAAAAGAACCTAGCTTTATCGGCGAAAAGCTGAATAAGGTGTTGATTTAAATCCTCATCAGAATCGAATGTTATTATATCACCAAAGAAATTTTGAAAAAAAGAGAAACAAGTGAAAGTTTGCGGGCGCAAGATTAGGCGAGTATAACACACGTGGGGAAACTTTTGATCCAAACTCCAATAATTTTTGTCAAACTTGTGTGTGGTCTCACGCTATCGGGATGGTATGCAGTTCTTATACGATTAATGAGCTCTGGAAGTTTCTGGAAGACAGCTTCATTGAAACTGTCCAGTACGCGGCAGCACACATTCGAGGTGATTTGTTGGCTCGTTAATAGGAGCTTGGAAACAAGACCACACCCAAGTCTGATCTCTGACAAAACTGATTGGAGTTTGGATGAAAAATGTTGCCACGCGTATCATGTTCACCTGATCTTGTGCCCTCAAACTTTCACTTGTTTTACTCTCTTCAAAATTCTTTCGTGGTATAACATTCAATTCAGATGAGGCCGTATATCAGAAATTTATTCTGCTTTTCGTGAATAAATTTAGATTATTTTGTGATTAA